AAAACAATTTTCCCAATTGCCCAATTAGTAATAATATGTTAGATAATAATATATTAGATTAAAGTAACTTTGGTGTCTGGCGATAATATTATATCAGCGATAAGACTTCGTTGATCACCGGTCGCCGACTGACGACTGTTCGTTCATATTCTCTGTCTGTCTCGTGCGTATTATGCATCTGTGCGGTGTTTGTGTAGATTGACAAAGTGACGAAAAAATTATATTTTGTGCATTGTTTTAATATTTGTAAATATTAATTTAATATCTATATATCTGTTATTAAAAACATGGATAACCAAAATGTTAATATTCCAAAATGCTTAGATGGCAAATTTTATACGGTTTTAAATTCTGATGAAATAATAAATGTTAGACGAAAATATTATGCGTTACATTATTCTTGGTATGAAACCACTATACTATACCCTCTGATTTTTATTTTTTAACACATAAATATGACGTGTCTATACAGTTCATTATTATTACCAGCACGGACCAAAATTCTATATACATATCATGTGTGTGCAATATACGCAATGTTTATTATTGTATTGTAATATCTGCAGTCGTATAATTTTGTTATAGAATTACCCAAATAACAACAGTGCTCTAAATTGTATACCAAGTAATAATTTTTATCCGATAATTGTTGATAGTATGTCTGTTTCCATAATATTTTGTTGTCGACAATTTACAGTTTTTTAGAAAGTGTCCACGAAATCCTACACAGTTCAGTTAGTGTATTCCTCGCAATGCATGCCTAAACGACAATGCAGGTGGAACGCGAGAGGCACATTGCCTCCCCCCCCAGCAAAAAGTAGTTGTTTTTATAAATTGTATTATAAACGCTGGCCTTTTGAACACTATTACCGACACTATACATGTTGATAGGATGTGAAACAAAGTGCTCGTAAACCCAAGAAAAACATACGAAACATAATATGTATATATTTTTTTTTTAACACATAAATACGTGTGACGTGTCTACGGTTTATTATTATCCCTGCGGACCTAACTACTATATGTACCCAGGGGCGTAATTACGGGGGGGGTATGGGGGATAGATCCCCCCCCAATGAGCTGTATTTTTATACTGCCGTATACCCACAAATAGTTCAGAAACAAACTTATAAATTAATAATTATTATTAAACTAAAAAATAAAATAAAATATTTAGTTGTGTTAGTACGGATCATAAATATTTACTCGGTAAACGATGAGTATGATTTAAAAAAATATATTATGGTCTGTTTCATTTTAATTCTTATTTATTAAATAAACACTTGGGTGCCCTGCCACACCTGTACCTAATTACAGTACCTACTTCCTACACACTACATGCATTATTATAGATGGTAAGTAATTTCGATGATGGGTAAAACCACTGTTCCAAAAATTAAAATGTAATAATAAAAATGTAACTTCAAGATTTACATTTCGTAAAACGAATAATAATACTACGAACGCGCGCTGACACTAAGTATCTTAGTGTCTACATTGATTATCGCGATTACGCACTGCACTATACATACTGTGACATTCTCGATTCTCACATAGCCACAGTGTCAGGAAAATTGATTTAATTTTCATAACCTAAAAGCAAAATGGAGCAAAAAAAAGAAAATTACCGGCAACTAATAATACCTACTCTTTTGATTTTTTTTTTTTAAAGAAGCCCGGACTTGACGTAAGTATTACAATTTTAAATTATTCAAAATACTACACATTATTAAGCCCGAAATTATATGTTTTTTTTAAATCGTATAAAATATGCATGACGTATTTTGTACACTTATTATAATTAACATTACAACTCGCATCAAAAATAAGCAAAATTAAATAACCACCAGTTAAAAATGTATTGACAATTTAACTGCAGTCGCTGCAGTATTTATTCAATAAATATTATATCATATTAATTACCTATTATAAAAAAATTAATGAGTCTACTAAAAAATAGAATTTAATAATTTATAATAATAACAATTAATAATGCCTAACAATAATTTAAAAAAGATTTAATTCGATTTTACCTATACATTTTCTTGTTTATTAATTAAGGAAAACATAGAGAAATCTGATGATGTATTACTCAAACTGTCCAAGTAACAAATAAGGTACAGTTTTGTTCTATGGTATTATACCTGTACCTTGACTGTTAACACTGCATTATTATTAATAAATTATGTTCTGCTTCGTAATTTTTTAGAGTGATAATTTTGATGCACGTAAAAATGACATTGCTTTATTTATTAGACATGATTTGCTATCAGACGAAGAAAAAAATAACGTAAGCTTTTCGAATGCTAATGCTAATGCCATGTGTTGAGTTATTAAATTATACCAAATGTAGAAAAGGGGTTGTGGGAGGCAAAGGCCTCCACGAGTTTGCTATACAAATTTATTTCAATCCCCCCCATAAAATATTCTCAATTACACCACTATATGTACCGTGTGTGCGTAGCACATATACACTATATTTATTATTGTATTGTAATATGCTGTCGTATAATTTTGTTATAGAAATCCAAAAAACGGGAGTTTTACACACCGTATCCACATGGGTAGGTACTCCGCTGTATACCCTCAGAAACTGCAATAAAATATTGTGCTTTCGCACATCGGAACTCGCCGTTAACATTATTATAAATAAGGAAAGTTTTCAGTTCACAGTTACAACGGGAAGATAATATATCACATTACAGTGGTATACACATTATATAGCGCAGGGAGACGTATACATACTAGTATAGTGTATAATATACCTATGTATAAAAAAAAGTGTTAAAAAACGTAGGTATTCAAGATTACCAGAAATATAAACCAATATTGTACCTATTTACATTGTAAAGTTTCAATCTAGATACTGATTTTATTGTAATACTGCAGTTGTGCGGGGGTGGTTACAGAGACTTGGTTGGTGGGGAGAGGGGGGGGGGACAAAGTTGTAATTTTCAGATGATTTTTGATAGTTTAAAAATATGTATTTTTTCGTAATTTCGTAGTTAACAGTTTACAGTTTTTTAGAAAGTTTAAACGAAATCCTACGTAATCCATATTTCCCGCGATGCATGCCTGAACAACAATGTAGGTGGATTTATACAACTGACCTTTTTATTACCTGCCTATGGGCTTGTTATGAACATGTGTTAGATATTATGCATAATATATCACCGGCAATATGGATAATTCGGG